ACAAAAGGAATAGTTTTATAAAACCCGAGGAGTCGTTTTATAAAACTCAAAGTCATTCATAAAACCCGCAGACTGTTTTATAAAAACCGAAGATCGTTTTATGAAACTCGAAAATCGTTTTATAAAACTCGAGAATCGTTTTATAAAACTCGAGAATCGTTTTATAAAACTCGAGAATCGTTTTATAAGACTCGGGAAGCCGTTTTATAAAACCCGAAGATCGTTTTATAAAACTCGAGAATCGTTTTATAAAACTCGAGAATCGTTTTATAAAACTCGAGAATCGTTTTATAAAACTCGAGAAGCCGTTTTATAAAACTCGAGAATCGTTTTATAAAACTCGAGAAGCCGTTTTATAAAACTCGAGAAGCCGTTTTATAAAACCCGAAGATCGTTTTATAAAACTCGAGAATCGTTTTATAAAACTCGAGAATCGTTTTATAAAACTCGAAAAGCTGTTTTATAAAACCCGAAGGTCGTTTTATAAAACTCGAGAATCGTTTTATAAAACTCGAAAAGCCGTTTTATAAAACTCGAAGATCGTTTTATAAAACTCAAGAATCATTTTATAAAATTCGAAAAGCCGTTTTTTAAAACTCGAAGATTGTTTTATAAAACTTAAAGATCGTTTTATAAAACCCGAGAAGCCGTTTTATAAAACCCGAAGATCGTTTTATAAAATTCGAAGATCGTTTTATAAAACTCGAAGAATCGTTTTACGAAACCGCAAAAAAACCGAAACAGCCGTAAAACGCGAACTAGTTACGACTAGTTCGCCCATGGGCAAACTAAGCCGAGCCGGCTTAGTTCGCCGGTGGGCGAACTAGAAACTTCCTGGGCGTCCCGAGCCTCGGTCTCCCGCATTCCCGATTCGAAACTTACGTCTTTCGACACGGTCGCATTCTGAAACACGGCCGAAACATCTCCCGTTCCATCTCGATCCGACCTATTGTTCGAGTTTTACGATAAAAACCGTAAAGCTTCATTTTCTCGATAAAAATTCGAAGAAATCGTCTGCGGCCAACGCTACAAACGCTAACGCCGAGACCCTCGAGAAAATGCTTTCCGAGTTTAACAAAAAATCAGAAGAGCAGGAAAAGCTCATCGGTTCGCTCGCGAAACAGGTAGAAACCCTAACCTCGAAAACCCGAGCAATTCACCCCCGCGGAACTACTAAGATCCGCGGAAGGAGGCTCGACTTTGGCGCTCCTACGGATCGCCCCAGAACCGAGCAGGAAAACGTGCCGGAAAAGGATTCCGGAAAAGATAATCCTGACGCGACGCTGAACGAATCGGAGAAACCTCCTACTCACGAACAGGAGACCGAGGGTGACGGCATCGAAAGGGTTAACCTGGAGACAAGCGACCAGGCCGATTCAACAGACGAAGACGCTGACGTCCATCCTAGGAAAAGAAAGACTCGAAGTCCTCTGCCGGAGTCTTCTCCCGAATGTTCGTATACTGGAGACGAAGGGGAACTCGACTTCGCGCGATATGCAAAAACCGCCGAGGAGCGATCTCCGGCCATTCGTAGCAAACGCCGACAAGGTCGGAAAACTGCTGGCGGTCTGACCGAGGTGCGCGATCTGCACGAATATATCACCAAAACGGCCGCAGCGGTAAAGGCGGTGAAATCTCAGATTCACCACGCTACCAGCGCCGCACCCGAGATTGATCGGCTGCTGTACGAGTCTCGGAAAACGCCCTTCACGGCCCGCATCACCGAGATCAAACTGCCGATCCCGGAAAACTTAAGGTGCCGACTTACGACGGGACGTCCGATCCCAAAGCGCACCTCTAAGCGTTCTAGATTACCATGGGACGAGCCAAGCTCAAGGACCACGAAAAAGACGCAGGCTACTGCCATCTCTTCGTTGAAAACTTAGTAGGAGCCGCGCTCGAATGGTTCGCCAAACTTAGGGGAAATTCGATCGGAAGTTTCCGTCGACTGGCTTCGGAATTCCTGAAGCAGTATTCAATGTTCATTAACCCGGAATTTCTGAAGCAGTATTCAATGTTCATTAACCTTCGAAGAAATCGTATAAAACGGCAATGGTTAAACGAAACACCGAATATTGCCTAAACCATACGATTTATTCAAAGTTTCTCGTTGAATTCATAAAAAACGCGTTTTTAATAAAAACGTCGAGTAAATCGTAAAAAACGTGTTTTTAATAAAAAGTCGAGTAAATCTTAAAACCTTATGATTAGCTCGAGGAATTTATTAAAAACGACATCAGATCAGGAAACGATCCCTTAAAAAGTCGGAAAACGGATTTATCGCAAAACGGCCCGGAAGGTCCTAAAACGCGATAAAACCCCATCTCGCGATCTTAACGGAATCTAACCCAAAGATTCGATAACGTTTTGACGGTTTACTCGCAGAAGGAAAATAAAAGTCAAGTTTGAAGATAAAAGGAAGGTTTGAAGAAAAATAGAAGATTTCCGCGGAAGAAAAGGAAGGATCGAGAAAAATGGAAAATTCACGATATAGTCAAATCTGGGCGAAATGGAAAGACCGGATGACCAAGGCGAGGAGTATATAAATAGGAGTCTAAGGCAGAAGCAAAGGACACGAAATTCAGAGCTCTCACCACCAAAATTAGCATTTAGGAATATTTCCGTTTTCCTGTTAGCGAGATGCGTCTCAATTAGGGTTTTTCGTTCTTAAGTTTTCGGCTACTCNAGGCGAGGAGTATATAAATAGGAGTCTAAGGCAGAAGCAAAGGACACGAAATTCAGAGCTCTCACCACCAAAATTAGCATTTAGGAATATTTCCGTTTTCCTGTTAGCGAGATGCGTCTCAATTAGGGTTTTTCGTTCTTAAGTTTTCGGCTACTCTCTTTGTACCAGTTCTACCCAGATTCGGAATAAGAACCTTCTTGCTTTCTATCTCGTTTATTTTCGTTTTAATTTTAAACTTCATCGTTTTCTTAATATTCGTTGTGCGGTTCTGCAGATAGCCGGTTCCTCTGGAAACTTAGGGTTTTCCCGAAGTTTCCTTATTTACGATTATTTGACAGTAGGTGGATTTCAACACCCACAATGTCTGTGCAAGATTTGTTGTACTCAAAGTAGAACTCTTTCATGGTCACATTAACACTTTATGATGTCTGATTTTAACATTTGCTGTGTGCAGGGAATCATCTACGCAGGATTGGAACATAAACCAGGAGCTTGAAGAAGGGGCGGCTTAGGTTTAGTTTAGTGTTATTTAGGTTTTGGTTTAATGTGTTTAATTATGTACTGGTTTAGCTTTGTAAAATTGATTTATGAATTGCAGCATGAATGGCTTATGTTTCTTGTTTTTTTTGGTGATAACTTTATGGAGAGCTTGATACTGGAAGAAGGCAGAGGTTAAGTCTTTCGTGCTCCTGTAACCTGTGTTGCTGAATTGGTATTTAACACCTCCTTGACACGGTGACATTTGTTTGTTTGACTATGTGCCTACTGCATTTTTTACCTGAGTTTGTTACTGGGCTGAGCAGATTTGTGTGTTTTGACCTGCAGTTAGCGGCAGAGACATTAGATGGATTAGAGTCGAGCAAGATAGAAGAGATGAGATGGAGTTGGTTCAGAAGCGAGGGAAAAAAGATAGTTGAGAAGCTTGGTGGTGGTGGAAGAGCAGAGATGTTAGACATGATTGTGAAGGCTTATTAGTAGTAGAATGATAGTATGTTTGATAAGCTTTGATGATATGTGTAAATAACGAAATGAATGTTTTATTAGAATATTAATTTGAATAAATTATTATTTGACAATTTTTCGATTCTATATTTTAAAAATCAAAATATTAAATTAAATTTATCATAAACGAAATGAAACAATTAAATATAAAAAGTGCAATGATATATTTAAATATTGCTATTGATAGAAGACTACAATAGTAATTAAAAACTGCTATAGTAAAATTCAAAAACAGCTATAGTTAAAAAGTTATATATCATTTTCGGGATGCTAAGATAAAGTATTAGAATTGCATAACGCAAATCGCTATTAATAATTAAATATCAATAGCAAACAGAAAAAGCGCTAAGCAATGTACGAGACCTATTATCGCAGGCGATGTTGTAGCGCTTTCTACAACGCTATGGTAACATGTGATAGCGCTTTAGTGGTGCTATTAAAACCCTTATTTCCTGTAGTGGATCTTCAGAGAATATAGAAAGAGAATGGATAGAGAGAGAGTGTATAAATGGTGAGAGAGAGAGGAGATAAGATATAGTTATATCGAGTAGAGAGAGAGAATGCTTGGGAAGTGAGAAAAGTGATTGGGAAAAGCCTGGACGAGACGAGACTCCCAAAGAAAAGAGCTGAGGGAATTTAATTCTTGACTTAAATAATTGAAAATCTTGGGTATTTTCGTTTAGGAGCGAAAATAAATTTTATTCTCCCCTCAAAATATTTGTGCATAGTTATACTGAAGTTTATGGTTTTACCAATTTTTTTCATAGTTCTACTTTTCACTATTTCAACATTTTTAGTTTTACGTCTAATTTTAATTTGCAAAGAAAGTTTTATTTGTCATTTTCTGCATGACCATGTATGTATATATGACTAGTGAAATAATATCTTTGAAATCATGAAAAGTATAGATTACTTCTTTATAAGCTGATCTTATTAACAAAGTGCTCTTGCAAAGACTATGACAAAATGTAAAACTATGAGTCTTTTTTTATTATGAGTTTTGTAAATATTAGTTATTTTCACTAATTTATTTCCAGAAGTAGTATCTGTTACATCTTTTTAGGTGAATAATTTTCTGTATTAACACTTATGTTGTTCGGATTAGAGGAAAATTATGTCTATCATGTGATGTTCGGATTAGGCCAATTTCTATGTTCGGATTATCACCTTGTTATACTAGTTTTCCGTGGTTTTCAAAAATATCTCTTAGACAGTCGAAACAAATCAAACACATCTTAAACATTAGTTTCTCCAAAACACTTAAACAAAGGTTCTAAAACACTTAAACATAGAGAATACATAGTAAGATCGCTTAAACATAGAATTCTTCAAACTTTCTAACAATTTCCTCTTCATTTTGTATCTTCTCCAAATTGCTTCTAAGTTCTGCAATGGTTTTGTTTAACTGCTCAATCACTCTACTCTTCTCTCGGATCTCATCCCGAGCTTCAATCAAAGCTCTTTTTTGCCATAATGACCTATCCTCTTCATCAAACTGTGCGAAGAACTTGCATCCATTTTTCTCCTGCCATAATTTCAATTGTAAAGCTATTTTTCACATCCGAATCGCTAGTTCTATAATTAGCTGGGATACCTTAAAGCGAGATAACCATAAAATCGCCGCCATAGGTTCTTGTCTGTCCAAGCTTGTGTTATGGCTGACTCTAAGCGACATAAACACAATATCCCACAAGAATTTTGCCTTCTCCTTGACGATCCCAAACCATCTCCTTGCATCTTCACTATTTTGTTGTGAGAAGAAGAAGAGTCGAGAGAGAAGAGAGAGAGAAGGAGAAGAGTCGAGAGTGAAGAGAGAGAGAGAGATTGTGAAAAAGATGCAGTATTTATTTCATTTATTAGAGTTATCAAGGTGAAAATTCGGGTCTATCCCACAAAAGATATACTTAGTTTTACATTGTTTTCAAAATAACCAAAAGCAACATACCAAAAGCAACATATCCAAAACCAAACAACAGCAATAAAATACAAACAAAAGATCTAGTTTGATTCACTGGGATTACTACTACATATTCCAAACAACAGCCAACTGAAACCGAACTTTTGCCTTGGCCGCCTCATGTTTTGTGTCCTTATACGTCTCTCCTCAACAGATGGATTCCTCTTATTCTTTTTTCTTCCCTTCCTCTTCAGACGATCTAGAGGTATGATCTCAAGCTCTTTGATATGATCTGGTACATTCCAATCAGACCTGTCCGCCACAAAATAAATGGTCTTGTAATAAGCCAATTCCCAAAGTTCCAACCAGTAATATTTCGACCACAACTCAAAATACTCTATCCTCACATCACGTCGACGACCAGGAGCAGCATCAACCTTATGGAAATATAAGTAAGCAGCAAGTTCGTACAAACAAGGATACTTTTCATAATCGTACACCTTGCAGGTACAACTCTTCGCTGTCAAGTTCACAACATAATTCTTCCCATTTTCAGTGTCGGTTAACTCGTACTCAAGCTCATAACTATTTAGCTCACGCACTGGTGTTTTCTCAGATTTTCCCCATATGTTATGCAAGTGAATCTCAACAAGAGGAACCAGTTTGGTATCAATCGACCCAGACACAAAGTCCTTCCGATGTTCATTAAACGAGTCAGAAATCTTTTTGATGATTGTATCCAACAATGGTATTAAAGCATAACTCGTGGCGTCCTTAAACACACTGTTCATTGACTTCACACTGTTGCAAGTTTTCAAGTTGTATTTGACACCTGAGAATAAACCCGAGCCCATGTGCTTTTCTCAGTATGCTCCTCCAAATACATGTACGCTGGAGGATATCTCACCTTAAAAAATGTGTAAGCAAATTCAAACTCAGCCACCGTGTAACACCTAGCCAAATCCATAAATCTCCATCCGACTACGGCTTTGGTTGTGTTGCAAGCATGCCCTCTCACATTCCGTGACAAATTCCATATACAATAGCCATGGTAAGATTGTGGAAACACATAAGCTACAGCCGCGATGTGTCTCTGATTTCTATCGCTCATAAAAACTAATTCAGAAGAGTCTGGTGTAGCAGTTTTCAGCATCTCGAAAAACCATGTCCAACTAGCATTATTCTCACCGTCGAGTACACCAATCGCAAGCGGATAATAGTGACGATTAGGATCTTGAGATTTAGCAAATACTAGTACACCACCATATCAATTCTTCAAAAATGTTGCATCCACAACTATCACCTTCCTCATTGCTGCAAAACCTTCAATACAAGCACCCAGAGCTATGAAGAGGTACTTGAACTTATTTGTCTCATCCAACTTCACCCCTATTTTTTGTTCCCAGATTGACCTGCTCTAACATGTACAAGTAGCTATATAGCATCTTGTAGCTCTCTTCCGAACCACCACACAACAAGAGCTAGCTAGATTGTTTCCTCTCAAGGCTGTGGAGTAAGATATTTTTTACACCAAGTTTTAACTTTATAAGCTCCATGATATCTTTTGGAACGAGTGTACTCAGTTTTCCAGGATATTCCTCATTCAGAAAAGTTGCAACTAATTCTGCTGAGTCTTTCCTCTTAATGTTGCTACTTTTACTTTGATTAAACCGAGAGCATGTATGAAGACCTGTGTACTTCCTAACAGAAAAAAATTCAGTCTCTGGAAACCTTGCAGCTTGTAAATCCCACTTACAGCTTGCTTCAAAACATTTTAACACCAATCGTCTCCGGTCTGACTTGTTGATAAGATAACGAAAGCATTCACCAAATGCAGCTCTATCCACCATCTCTTGAATTGCTTTCTTACTTGGAAACTTCTGATACTTAATCAGACCCAAACCGTCTTCCCAATCCTCTATAACCTGACTAGATTTTTTTATAGGTGGCTGCTCAACAGACTTATCTGCATCCATATCCGTCTCAGCTGCGGTGTCCGTTTCAGCTGCGGTGTTCGTTTCAGCTGCGGTATTCTATTAAGCTGCGGTGTCCGTCTCCGCTGCAGTGTCTGTCCCAGCTGCGGTGTCTGTCCCAGCTGCGGTGTCTGTATCCATAAAATCATTCTCTGCATCTATCAGTTCCTTTTGTTGAATTGCTTGACCATTTTATACATACAGAGTTATGGCCCGAGGTCCGGTTTCATAATCAACATCATCATTTCTCTGCAACACTTCGTGGTTCATACCCAACGAACTTATGGCCACTCTTGACAGCTTCTCTAACTGACCCGATCTACTCATCTCCTCCATTAACAAAAGAGATCTACGATTGTCTTTATAAACGGTAGTTAGGAAACCAAACAGATCATCATCATCACGAATAATTTGCTTTTCTTCAGATCCATACACCATCGGCATGCACTTGAATGCCAGTTTTACCTTACTTTCATCCAACGCAAGCTTTTTAAACAGCTTTTCTTCTAGCATTGCCAACCTTATATCATCCATTGTTGTCTTCAATATTACACAAGAGATCTGCCTTTTAAATTTGAAATATACGCTCACATATTTCATCATTGTATCCTGCAAAAAGAAAAGAATAATTATCAGTGTTAGTTATACCAGTTGTCTATAGTTTTACCTAGTATACAACAATTATCAGTTCTACTTGTTATACCTAGTCATACAAAGTAATGCTTAAACAAGAACTCAAATGTACGATTGATTGTAGAGATCTCCGGCGAAGCAACTCACAATTGAGAGAATTCACCACCATGCATAACAATTTCACATACAAACCAACCAAATCATCCTAGAATCAATGCCGTTTCAACACAGCCAATTAAAAACCCTAAATCCAGTTTCTATCTTGCAACTCGCGGAGAGAGAATAACTAACCTGCATTACGACCTGTCTGAATGAGTAGTAACCGGTGGAAACGTTGAAGTCCGACGGTGTCTCTAGAGTAGCTATCGATGTCCACAACAGAGTAGCTGTGAGGGAGCTGCGAACCAACCAGAGAGGAGGAGAGGAGGAGGAGAGCTCGAGCTGCGGGAAAAACTATTTTATTTCTTTTAATTTTAGATTTTCTTTTTTCTTAATTCATACTCAAATCGTTAACCGAAACCACCTAAACCCGAACCACTAATCCCTCGATTTCTCAAACCGAATCAACTCCAACCAAAATCTAGTTTTCTTTTATATATATATATATATTTTTTTTTTCCACCCATTTAAGGGCATTTTTGTATTTTGACAGTGATTTAATGAAATAGGGGCATATGAGGTTTTGGGAGTCCATAGGAGATTTGGTTATCAAACTTGGGGGCACCAGATGAGTTGCTTCCTTCTCGCCGATTCAAGAGTTTATATTTTCATAAACCGATTTCTGCAAATATAGGAAAACTACAGTTCATTTTTTTGCAAAGAAAAGTTTTCTGCTCAAAATCAAGAAAACACAAGATTTTTTTTTCTTTTGTAAATTTGTTTTAAATTAAGTATTGATATAATTTGTGATTTGTGGAGAAGCATATTAAGTGATGTAAATTGATCTGAAACCCAAAAACTAAACCGAAAGCAAATAGAAAAAAAAAATCAAAATTGGATTGACATTTAAAAAGCTCGAACGTTTCTATTTTTCTATAAACCCGAAAAACCCTAAATAAATCAAGAAAAAAACAAAAAATAAAACATAAATTTCAATATTTATAATGAATAAATTTATTATTTTTAATTATATATACTATCATTTATAAATTAAAAATTATCCAAAAATCTAAATTACCCGAATATTTTTTTCAGTTTTTCATGCTTAATCTCTATATATTTTTCACTGGTTTTTCATAGCAACGAGCTTCTTCATTATCTTCAACATCACATATTTTGATTCCTCCATTGTAGCCTTTCAGTTCTTCTCAAATTTCCACAACTCTGAAATCACATAGCCACCACTTGGGTTGTATTCCATTATCTTCATTTTTGGTCTTACCATTTCATTGTAAAGTTCCTCACCCTACATATTTCAGCTTAACCATCTTCTCATCGTTGTTATAATGCTGTTTCTTATATAGTATATGATATAATGAAAAATTATTTTGTATATTATAAGGTCGAGCATGACGGGATCTGCTTGGGAACACTTGTTTTGGTAGATATTCAAAGATGGTACAAAATTAAGAAGGTCATTGAAATAATTTTGCTGTGGGAGTACCGGTCCTGATATGGGAAGGACCAGAAGCAATTTTCTAAAAATTGGTCATTTTTATAAGAATGTTTATATACCATAATAATAATTTTCTTTTAAAAAAGGCTGATTTTTTCAAGTATTTTTTGAGGGCTGGAAACTGTTGCGTATAATGCTTCCCCCCAGGACCAGTACTAGGGACGAGATATTTTGCACACAAATCAGACATTATTCTTCTTAGGAGTGTGTGCACGCGAAGAAGACGCGGCTAATGTAAAGCGCATATGCTACTTCCAATAGTATAATACTAGGATAAGACCTGCGCTTTCCGCATGATGAATATATGTAATTAAAATATAAAATTTTAGTATTGACAAATTTAAAATTTACATATGATTTTTTTTATATGTATTTGAAAGTTTAGAATTTTAGTATTTTTACAATTATCTATACGTATGATCAGAAACAATTGTAATTAAAGTGTAGATCAAAGATTAGAATTTAATGGATCCGATTTCTTATATCTTTTGTGGGAACCGAAATTCACACTTGTCGATTTCCGTTAAAAAAGGAAACTTAGGAAAACCCTAATTTTC